CCCCGCCCCCCCCCCCCCCCGTGTTCCTCCATTATTCTGACCACACTAAGTATATCCGTGTTATGTTCCTCAGCACCTAATCAGAGGTACAGGACGCCGTGCCAACGCATAGTCAGCCTGGTTAACGTGCCGCATCCCCGCTCTGCTCATTGTGATTGACAGAAGCTACTAGCAGTCATGTGACTGGGGGAATAAAAGCAGCATTTTTGGGAAATGATATAGGAGAGGCTTTGCCATACATCTGTGGAGCAGACTAATTCCCCAAAGGGTTAATCTGCACATCAACTACCGGCGGTCCTGGCTGCCACTGTTGTATGACCCCGGTGTGACACAGGTCAGAGGTCAGGAGCGGTTTGCTGTACAGGAGATTGGTCAGATTGGTGGCACATGGGATGCAGATGTGTGCCGTGTCCTGGGGTAATCGGAGGCGGACACAGAGGTCTCCTGTTCTTCTTGTGTGGGGCAGCAAAGTGCAGACGGAGCTATGTACAAAGAGCAGAGGAAGGTGCTGCCAATTTCATTGAATATACAGACCCTTCCTAGGTCCCCCCCCCCCAATGGAATCTGGATGAGAACCCCGAGTATTGTATGTCTGCTTTACACTGAACCTTTCTATACATTGGGATACTGATATATAGTTACTCATGGTGATGGCACAACTAGATCCTTCCTATGTGTTCGGAGTTGATGTTTATATTGCTCTGTAGTATCATACGCTTTGTATCAATGCTCTGTTCATATACAATGTATACGTTTGTTCCCAGCGGTCCTGTGTAAGGACTTTGGTGACGTGTTATAGGGTGAGGTCCCCGGCACAGCGATGTAGGGAATAGATCTCTGCTCTGGAATCATCTAAATACTAAATATGTAAAGATATCCGCTTTCCAAACAGCATCTACGATCATCCAGCATAGGGACTCATCCCTACCAACCAATCAGCAACTGCCTTCTACGGGCCGCCTGGTTGGGTCGCACAAGTTGCTGGGAAATATTCTCTGACGTTCTCATTGTCTTATTGAGTGAATTCAGCTCAAGAACAGAAATGTCATACATTGCAGCTCACTAGTCCATAGATGCGGCGGCCGCATTCGTTTTCTTTTTGTCACACTAGATACGCTTGCTGCAAGTACAGAAATCTACCCATTGACCCCCATAGGAGTCCAGAGCCCTTGTGACTTCCTTTGTGCCGAACTGAAATCACAATCCGTGTTATCTGCTTTCTAATGTGAACTGCAGAGCACCACCTCTCTATGTAATAAAGATGAGGAAAGGAGGAGGTGTTTGTAGTCCAGGTCAGGAGAGCGGCCTTGGGTGACAATTTTACACCTCCTCAGATACAGTACAGGAAGTGAGCGTTGTCACCCTAGGACAGGAAGTGTTACTGGAAAGATAACCAGGTGAATATAAAGGGAACAAGCCTGAAAAAAAGAACACTAATGCAGCCACCACATCTAAGGACCAGTAATCTGCCATATATGATGTTTTTGTTTTTTTTGGTTTAGATTCACTTTAAATCCCAGTAATCTGCTCTTTGTCACTTATTGTGCAGCCCTTATAGTGCCTGGGGACAGCATGGGGTTCATTTATAAAAGTTCTAGAGCAGAGGAAACTCCTTTACTCATCAGCGCCATCTGGAGGTGCTAGTGCAGTGCGAGCGACATCCACCCCACTATACGATGTGCTGAACATTTATGAATGAGCCTCTCAGCATCGCAATGTTCTAAAGGCAGAGCAACAAATATGGAAGAATGGGTGGGCTGGAGGTGCTGTGATCTCTAGCAGTCTCCTGTCCTCAATGTCTCCTGAATCCTATCTCCAGTCTCCAACCAATCCTATGGCTGCCGCCTGACAGCGTTCTGTAGAATCAAGCCCACTGAATACTTTGTGGGGCTTTTCGGTGATGTCCGGGGCCACACTTGAGGTCCCCAATATAAAATGAGTTGGCAACCCGATTTTCTTTCTTAATTAATATTCTTTGCCATCGTACGCTTTGGTTCCACTTCTAGAAGGCCCGGTGTCTGTATCTATAGCACATGACGCAATGTCTACCCTTATAGGCGCAGCTTGGACCTCCCTGCCTGCCATTGATGTACGGTAGAGCAGATCTGGGATTTGGCCGGTGAGATCAATAACTGTCTATTACTCTTCTAAACCTGAAATCCTCCCGAGACGTTGCTTGGTGAATGTGTGCGGGTGAATGTGTGCGGGTGAATGGGGGGGGGACACTCACTTTCCCTGAGGTAGGTGAGATGAGAGAGGAGAACCTCCGTGTTGTAGAGAGATGTGCTGCGCAGGAAATTCTCCTTCGTCATTTTGCAGAGGTCCTTCCCCTCCATGTTCTGGAATAGTGACGAGTCGATGTCCATCAATCCGTATTCCTTAATGGCCCAATCCAGCCACTGCCGCACGTGATCCTGACTCCACAACGAGGGATCTGTACAGGACAAAGCACAGCCAGTCATTGTGTATCCAAATCTCCCAATGGAACTATTGGAGCAATTACTGATATATGACCTGCGCACCACAACCTTCCAAGAACAGGAGGTGATCACATGTCTCATCCCATCACCCCAAAAATAAGAGGATTCTTCCTCATTTCAGCCATGCAAATCATTCCTTGACATCCCATTGGTCAAATGTACATCCAGAATCACTGCTGCATAGTACAAATATAGACCAATATTATAGAACCTTTTATTCCAAACTACATACATCATGAGAGCTGTGTATGGAGACCATGACGTCTATGGACAGTATAACCATACAGGTTCCCTCCAGTGATCACTGTCCTCAGGGTAATGATACAGAGACAGTATAACCATACAGGTTCCCCCCCAGTGATCACTGGCCTCAGGGTAATGATACAGAGACAGTATAACCATACAGGTTCCCCCCCAGTGATCACTGGCCTCAGGGTAATGATACAGAGACAGTATAACCATACAGGTTCCCCCCCAGTGATCACTGGCCTCAGGGTAATGATACAGAGACAGTATAACCATACAGGTTCCCCCCCAGTGATCACTGGCCTCAGGGTAATGATACAGAGACAGTATAACCATACAGGTTCCCCCCCAGTGATCACTGGCCTCAGGGTAATGATACAGAGACAGTATAACCATACAGGTTCCCCCCCAGTGATCACTGGCCTCAGGGTAATGATACAGAGACAGTATAACCATACAGGTTCCCCCCCAGTGATCACTGGCCTCAGGGTAATGATACAGAGACAGTATAACCATACAGGTTCCCCCCCAGTGATCACTGGCCTCAGGGTAATGATACAGAGACAGTATAACCATACAGGTTCCCCCCCAGTGATCACTGGCCTCAGGGTAATGATACAGAGACAGTATAACCATACAGGTTCCCCCCCAGTGATCACTGGCCTCAGGGTAATGATACAGAGACAGTATAACCATACAGGTTCCCCCCCAGTGATCACTGGCCTCAGGGTAATGATACAGAGACAGTATAACCATACAGGTTCCCCCCCAGTGATCACTGGCCTCAGGGTAATGATACAGAGACAGTATAACCATACAGGTTCCCCCCCAGTGATCACTGGCCTCAGGGTAATGATACAGAGACAGTATAACCATACAGGTTCCCCCCCAGTGATCACTGGCCTCAGGGTAATGATACAGAGACAGTATAACCATACAGGTTCCCCCCCAGTGATCACTGGCCTCAGGGTAATGATACAGAGACAGTATAACCATACAGGTTCCCCCCCAGTGATCACTGGCCTCAGGGTAATGATACAGAGACAGTATAACCATACAGGTTCCCCCCCAGTGATCACTGGCCTCAGGGTAATGATACAGAGACAGTATAACCATACAGGTTCCCCCCCAGTGATCACTGGCCTCAGGGTAATGATACAGAGACAGTATAACCATACAGGTTCCCCCCCAGTGATCACTGGCCTCAGGGTAATGATACAGAGACAGTATAACCATACAGGTTCCCCCCCAGTGATCACTGGCCTCAGGGTAATGATACAGAGACAGTATAACCATACAGGTTCCCCCCCAGTGATCACTGGCCTCAGGGTAATGATACAGAGACAGTATAACCATACAGGTTCCCCCCCAGTGATCACTGGCCTCAGGGTAATGATACAGAGACAGTATAACCATACAGGTTCCCCCCCAGTGATCACTGGCCTCAGGGTAATGATACAGAGACAGTATAACCATACAGGTTCCCCCCCAGTGATCACTGGCCTCAGGGTAATGATACAGAGACAGTATAACCATACAGGTTCCCCCCCAGTGATCACTGGCCTCAGGGTAATGATACAGAGACAGTATAACCATACAGGTTCCCCCCCAGTGATCACTGGCCTCAGGGTAATGATACAGAGACAGTATAACCATACAGGTTCCCCCCCAGTGATCACTGGCCTCAGGGTAATGATACAGAGACAGTATAACCATACAGGTTCCCCCCCAGTGATCACTGGCCTCAGGGTAATGATACAGAGACAGTATAACCATACAGGTTCCCCCCCAGTGATCACTGGCCTCAGGGTAATGATACAGAGACAGTATAACCATACAGGTTCCCCCCCAGTGATCACTGGCCTCAGGGTAATGATACAGAGACAGTATAACCATACAGGTTCCCCCCCAGTGATCACTGGCCTCAGGGTAATGATACAGAGACAGTATAACCATACAGGTTCCCCCCCAGTGATCACTGGCCTCAGGGTAATGATACAGAGACAGTATAACCATACAGGTTCCCCCCCAGTGATCACTGGCCTCAGGGTAATGATACAGAGACAGTATAACCATACAGGTTCCCCCCCAGTGATCACTGGCCTCAGGGTAATGATACAGAGACAGTATAACCATACAGGTTCCCCCCCAGTGATCACTGGCCTCAGGGTAATGATACAGAGACAGTATAACCATACAGGTTCCCCCCCAGTGATCACTGGCCTCAGGGTAATGATACAGAGACAGTATAACTATACAGGTTCCCTCCGGTGATCACTGTCCCCAATGTAATGATACAGAAACAGTAAAGCTATAGAGGATATGGTGAGAAGGGATAAATGATTATACTGTCTCATTGATATGACATGTTAATATGATAATATAAAACCTAACTCTAGCCAGAACCTTTTAAATTTTGGATTGATTCGGGACAGAGGGGAGACTGAGGAGACGCTTCCTCCTGCCTGCAGCAGACTGATCACTGGGGGAGGGGAGACTGAGGAGACGCTTCCTCCTGCCTGCAGCAGACTGATGACATCATCTCAGTCTAGGCCAAGTCACTGACCTGGAGCTCAAGGACGGCTTTTTAATGATAAAAGGCGGCTCTTCTCTGAGCAATCATTTTGTGACACATCAGGAATGTTCTAGATCCAGTGATCACTGTCCTCAGTGTAATGATACAGAGACAGTATAACCATACAGGTTCCCCCCAGTGATCACTGTCCTCAGTGTAATGACACAGAGACAGTATAACCATACAGGTTCCCCCCAGTGATCACTGTCCTCAGTGTAATGATACAGAGACGGTATAACCATACAGGTTCCCCCCAGTGATCACTGTCCTCAGTGTAATGACACAGAGACAGTATAACCATACAGGTTCCCTCCGGTGATCACTGTCCTCAGTGTAATGACACAGAGACAATATAACCATACAGGTTCCCTCCGGTGATCACTGTCCCCAATGTAATGACACAGAGACACTATAACCATACAGGTTCCCTCCGGTGATCACTGTCCTCAGTGTAATGATACAGAGACGGTATAACCATACAGGTTCCCCCCAGTGATCACTGTCCTCAGTGTAATGACACAGAGACAGTATAACCATACAGGTTCCCCCCAGTGATCACTGTCCTCAGTGTAATGATACAGAGACGGTATAACCATACAGGTTCCCCCAGTGATCACTGTCCTCAGTGTAATGACACAGAGACAGTATAACCATACAGGTTCCCTCCGGTGATCACTGTCCTCAGTGTAATGACACAGAGACACTATAACCATACAGGTTCCCTCCGGTGATCACTGTCCCCAATGTAATGATACAGAAACAGTAAAGCTATAGAGGATATGGTGAGAAGGGATAAATGATTATACTGTCTCATTGATATGACATGTTAATATGATAATATAAAACCTAACTCTAGCCAGAACCTTTTAAATTTTGGATTGATTCGGGACAGAGGGGAGACTGAGGAGACGCTTCCTCCTGCCTGCAGCAGACTGATCACTGGGGGAGGGGAGACTGAGGAGACGCTTCCTCCTGCCTGCAGCAGACTGATGACATCATCTCAGTCTAGGCCAAGTCACTGACCTGGAGCTCAAGGACGGCTTTTTAATGATAAAAGGCGGCTCTTCTCTGAGCAATCATTTTGTGACACATCAGGAATGTTCTAGATTTGTAAGGTTCTATGTCTGTCATCTCCCTATCCCCCCGCCATGCACACGCAGCCCCTGTGACCTCACATTACATAACTCACCTGCTGGGACAATGACTCTTCTCTCATTCGTCGTCATGTTAGGGGGAGGGGCGCTCTTCTCATCCATGAAGGTGTTGTAAGTCATCCCGTTGTTCTCCGACCCGGCGAGTTTGCTGCATTTGTTGACGCTGCAATCCACCGGAGATTCCCTACAAAATAGAACAGAGTTTTATGATGTTGTTGTCACTGGAGATATAACGTTCCATCTTTCACAGATCTGCCCATACACCAGTGTGACCCCTCCAGTGCAATTCCTGGATTGTGAGGTCCGCACAACCGCAGGAAGGGAAGGTGATCGGTCGGCTTTTCCATCCTGCTGGTTGTAGTTGCAATCAGATTGTGAGAAGTTGGGGTTGCGCTTTAAGTGGGTTGGTTTGGCTTTAACCCTTTGTGTGTCTATAAATGCTAGCCAATATTTCCATGTATTCCCCCC